ACAAATTAAGTTAAATGAATTTTAAGATTTTCCAAATGATTTTCTAAGTATATTCGATAGAATTATTCGAATATCAGAACATTACTCCAAATCTTTCAAAGATCATTTTTAATCCTTACTCAAAGTGTAAAATTAAGTTTTAATCTTAAAACAATTTCAAAATAATTTTACAAAGTATTTCGAACAATTTCAAAGCCAAAAATTCCAGATTGCTCAGAGGGAACCGATTCCCCCCTAAGGGGGTACCGATTCCCCCTGAATGGTTTGGCTCCGAGAATTCCAGTATGCTCGGAGGGAACCGATTCCCCCCCAGGGGGTACCGATTCCCCCTTGTATAACGGTCGAAATATTTGAATTTTACACTTAGGGAACCGATTCCCCATAGGGGGTACCGATTCCCCCCACGCTCCAAGCTGTTTTATTAATTGTTTTCACACTAAAACGGCTATATGATCTTCACTAATCATCCTCAACGTTCAGAAGTGATTCAAGGTGTATTTAAACAAGTTCTGAAGCCCTTGATCAATAAGAAATCATAGAGAAACAAGAGAGAAAGCATCAAACACCAAGTTTGTGCAAATCAAGCCAATTTTCCTTTCAAGAACACCATTTGTGCTCATTTGTAATTATCTTTGAGTGTTCTTTTCTTGTTCTAGAATTGTGCAAACATCTTACCTTGTGAGGTTTTCCTTGTAAGTTTGTAAATTTGTAATCTTCTCTTTGGGAAAGAGTGTTCTCAAGAATTAGGGTATATTCTTGAGGGTGTTGTAAGGTTATCTCTTTGGCCTCAAAAGAAAGAACAAATTAGTGAATTTGTTGGAAAATCCTTAGTGTGGATAGCTAAGGTAGTGGACGTAGACTTTGATTGAGAAAGTCGAACCACTCTAAATCGCTGTGCAATTACTTTCAATTTTCTGCAAAAGCTTCCACCAAATTTTTAATTGTCAATTCACCCCCCTCTTGGCCAATTCCCTCAATCGATTAACTCAACATCTTGAGAATCTTAAAAAATTCTAACTTTGTAAGGAAAATAAATTGTTGAATTTATTTCCTTGGAAATCTTGAATGATTTTAACTTTGTAGGAAAAATAAATTGTCGAATTTATTTTTTTGAGAATAATGAATGATAATATCCTTTAAAAAGAAACAAATTGTTAAATTTATTTTCTTAAGAATCTTAAATGATTCTATTTTGTTAAAGGAAATAAATTGTTAAATTTATTTTCTTGGGAATCTTGAATAAAGAAATAAATTGTTGAATTTATTTTCTTATATGATTCTTTTTTTTAAATGAAATAAATCTTGGGATTTATTTTCCTGTTTTGTAAAAGGAAATAAATTATTGAATTTATTTTCCTATTTTGTAAAAGAAAATAAATTGTTGAATTTATTTTCCTGAGAATCTCACATGATTCTGATATGTAAAAGGAAATAAATCGAAAGAAATTGTTTGATTTATTTTCCTATTTTGTAAAAGGAAATAAATCGTTGGATTTATTTTCTTATTTTGTAAAAGGAAATAAATCATTTAATTTATTTTTTTGGTTTGTAAAAGGAAATAAATCGTTGGATTTATTGTCCTATTTTTTTAAAAGGAAATAAATCATTAGATTTATTTTTTGGGAATCTTGTATGATTCTTGTTTGTAAAATGAAATAAATTGTTGGATTTATTTTCATGATTTATAAAACAAAATAAATCGATGAATTAAATTTATTTTCTTGGGAATCAAGTATGATTCTATTTTGAAAGAACGAAATAAATTGTTAAATTTATATCTTTAAAATCTCGATATGTTTGTAAAGTGAGATCTTGAAGTAAATTTATTTTGGAAATTGAATTCATGTTATAATAATGAGTTTACTTGATATACTTTAACTAACAAGAAGGAATAAATATTTTATTACCTTCATTGGTGATAGAAAAAAATATTGCTATATATTTGCTAAAGAGCAGAGGTAAAGCTATAGAAAAATCTATTCTCTATATATTCAAAGTTGAAAACCAACTTAATAAAATCATTAAGATGGTAAGAAGTGATAATGGTGGTGAATAAATTGAACCATTAATTGGTCAATGTTGTGCACAACATGATATTATTCATAAAGTGACACCATCATAGGGGTAGCAAAGCGGAAAAAGTAATTCTTAAAAAGGAAATGATGAATGCAATGCTAAGAAGTTCTTATCATAGAACATGTAGGGGAAGCTTTTTTCAGCTAATTACCTTTTAAATAAGGTTCTCCGAAAAATATTGACAATACGACATATTAGTTATGTAACTGTAGAAAATCTTTCTACAATTACTTAAAAATGTGGGGGTGTCTTGTAAAGATAATGATCTCATTATCAAAGGAAACGAAATCCCAAATTGATGGATTATACTAGTTATGTAGATTATAGCAAGACATATCGACATCTTGTGTATGAATCAAAGAATCCCGAGATTCACAATAACACGATAACAAAATCAAAGAATATCTCATTCTTTGAAAATATATTTCCTTATATAACTAAGGAATATGATTGAAGACTATCAATAAAGATAAGTCTATATGTTCAACGACAGGTTGAAACAAAGATATTTTCATTATGACAAACCTCTAAAAAGCAATTATGAGTGAACTGAGATATCCCAGATATGCTCAAGAGTATGGATTGTATTATCCCAAGATCATGCTTTCTTAGAAGGATACTTTAATGCCATTTGAATATCTGATATTCAAAATATCAAAGACACAAGTGAATATGTTTCACATTAGGAAGAGGAGTTATGTCATAGAAATCCTCAAGAAAACGGTTATAACCAAATCCAAAATGGAATAAGCGTTTGTAGCTCTAGACAAGTCTAGAGAATAAGTTGAATGACTTTATAATTTCTTGGAGGATATTCTTGAATGGTCAAAGTTTGTGCCTACAATATTCATATAGTGGTAGAACACCAAACTTTATGTAAAATGGTAAGTTGAGATATATACATCATCAACACAATACCATTAACCGAAGGGTTAAAATCGAGATCAAGTTGAGAAAATGTCTAAAGGAATGAGACCAAAGCCCATGAAAAATTGAAGGTGTTATTTGAAGTAAAACCCTACCTAATTAACTGAAGATCCCGAGATCTAGGTTCAAAGGGACAACTTAATTGCATAAATCGTATGCGGACACTGTGAGGGTTTCTTATCCCAAGTTCATCTTTTTTTTATCTTCTTTACAACTTGTATCAATTTTATTGATCAATTTAACTTTTTTTCTTCTTTAATTTTGTTTAACGGGCGGCGGCACCAGTTTTAATGCTGGTTGCCGCCAAACGATTATTATTTTTTTTTAGTTTTTTAATAAGAATAATCATGTCGCTTGACTTTGATTTGCGATTTGTCGGTGGTCATTCATTAGCTTCATCCCCTTTTGTGGTTCGTTTACCGATGCAGTTATATTTGTTCACATCTTTATTTAGTTCGAGTTTTTTTGGTTAGGTTTTTTAACATTTTCCTTCTTTGGTCCTTATGTGATCTAGGTGGCTAGTTTTTGTCTCAATGGTAATAGGAAAATGTCATAATTATATTTTAGGTTTACGGTTATGCTCATAAATCTTCATTGTAATTTTGGTTATTTTCTATTTTTAATAAAACTAGCGACATTCTATATAAAAAAATTGATAAACAATCAAGCCCTTTATGTTTAAATTGAATTCAAATAAATTCCAAATCTTTTAATTCATACCTAAATAAAACTCTTAAAACAATCAACATATAGTTTGAAATAAGAGTTAAATTTTTGGGTATATGACAATATTAAGACTCGTTTAACAAAAGAAAAAGAATTCAGGGGCTATTTTAGTAGTTTAGCCTAAACAAAACATGGACTTGTGTATTTACTTGATTTATTTAGTCTAGCTTTAAATTGAGTTATTATTTTAAGAAAAGTATTCCATGAATATATAACCGGCCAAGAAAGAAAACAAAATATTACACCAAAATTACATAAAAATATATCCGTATGGTGATCGAAACAAAGACAAAACAGAAACAAAATGAAAAGATAAATCCAACCGTCTGCACCTCTCTTGTCTTGTTTATGATGCCAATTGGGTCCGTCGGTTTTTTATTTGTTTCGATTTTGATTAATATGTTTGAAGTTATTCATCTTAGTTTTATTGAATTATGATGAATGCGGTCACAGAGTTACCAGGGACTAATGTAAGATTTTATCTTGGAGGTGAATTTATAAAATTTTAAGGTTAGACGAGCTTAAAAAATTCTAAGAGGCAAACATAGAAATTTGAAGGGTAAATTACAAATTTGGTAACTGAACTTTATTCTCTCTCCTATTTCACTTACTTTACTTTAAATTTTTCAATTTCCCCACTGAATACATTGGGTTTTTTTTGTTCACTTGGCCGTTAAATAGTTAACGGCGTTAAAATGGACTGTTATATAGATGCAAAACGACATTGTTTTGGTGAAAATTTTATTTTTTATAAATGACACCGTTTTTAATGTCGTTAACTATTTAACGATGGAGTGATCAAAATAGAAGAGAGAGTATAGTTCACCGACCAAAAAAACCCAATGCATTAAGTGAGAAAATTGAGAACTTTTAAAATTCAGTGAATAAAATAAGAGAGAGAATAAAATTCAATGATTAAATTTATAATTTACCCAAATTTAATATTTTTAGGGGACGAGAAACCTACCCGTCCATTTCGACCCATCCCTAATCGTGGCCATCCCTATCTTTCTCCCTAATTAGTAGCTACACTGGGCATGAAGTAGTTGAAACATAAAACGTGGAAGTCCAACCCAAATCCTTACAAAAGCAAAAGCACAAACAAGACATGTCCAACAGGTTTCTTGCATGAAACAAGTTGCCATTAAACAAACTAAAATAAATAAATAAAAAGACAGGAAACCCATTGTTCAAATGGTACCATATATATATATATATATATATATATAGAATGATGAAACAAAAACCAAACTAATCATTGCATAGGTATTCTGCAAAGATTTGTTTAGAGATTTTGAGAGCAATGCCTCTAAGAGCAAGTAGGAGGGGGGATGTTGAAGTGAGGAAGAAAGGGTACAAGAGTTTAGTATTAGATGCAGATGAAGGTAGAAGGAAAAGAGAAGACAATTTGGTGGGGATAAGGAAGACTAAAAGAGAAGAAAGTCTCCTCAAGAAAAGGAGAGAAGGCCTTTTCATTCTCTATCAGTATCACCACCACCACTTCACTCATGATATCTCCATACCAAATGTAAGAGGATTCATTCACTTCTTTTTATCATAGTTAGGTGTCGATTGATTGTACTTTGTTGATATCAACATTTGGGTTACGACGGTCATAGGTTTATTTATTTGGTGTGAGTGAAGAGTTGCAGTCGATGATTTAGAGAGTCGTCTAATCAACTTTAAATAACATATAGTGTTATACCTCCTCCAAATATCCTTCACAAACGGCATCTCCATTACCTCCTCTCTACATACCAAAGCCTCCGGATGAACTCTCATTGATCAAATCTTTTAAATGAAACCTCTAATAAGCTCACATGATTCTTTAACATGACCTCTAAAAGCCTATATGATCTTTCATTCACTCAAATGATCATGTTCGTACGTCTTATCAACCTATAAATAGTTATCATCATCGTAGGCCTGACATTAAAAGTCATTATAAAACTCCTTATTCAAGATCGAAGGAAATTTCCTATTCTCTTCCTTTCTTCTTATCCAGAAAGAGAGCGCATAGTCTATTATCTAATATCTATAGTTAGTCACTACACATAAAATCACATACCGTAATTTTCTATCTAAATTAAAATGGATAAATCGTCAATAGTCATTGTAATCCAAATGTTCCCATCAACACACTTCATTTATGAGGAAAATGGCCGTCTTTTGACGTGTTTGCGTTAGATTACAACTCATATTATATGACAGCTGATGGTAAAAGGAGTATCATCGGATGATCCAGCACTGCGGTTAGAAGCCACTACTCTACTTCGAAAGCTATTATCAATGGGTTTGTTTCATCATCTTTCTTCTTTACATATCTCTGAAAATCGGTTCCTATAGTACAACCTCACAGTACATACAACTGCAGAGCACTGCCCACCAATCCAGCAGGTAATCGAAGCTGGCATCGTTCCTCGATTAGTCGGCTTTCTCGACGATCATCATCACCCTCAATTACAGGTACACCTACTCAGTTCGGTTCGGTTTATTCACTGAATCACTCGAGTTTGATTTTGGTTTTCATTTGCCAGTTCGAGGCTTCGTGGGCATTGACTAATATTGCCTCTGGTACATCTGAACACACACACGTTGTTATTCAGCAAGGTGCTGTGCCCAAATTTGTGCACCTTCTTGGCTCTTCGATTACTGATGTTCGAGAGCAGGTCAGTTTTGTTGAAAGTCTTTATTGTTTTCTAATGTCGAAATATACTCCTAAGTTTGATTAAACATTTATTTTGGTTCATTTTTTTGGGTATACTACGTATTTAGTCACCTAATAACTCTCGAGGTTTTGTTTTGATCACTCAATCCAACTATGTTTTTTTCCAAAATTATACATAAAGTTAGGTTTTAGTCACCCGATAATAGTGATGTTCAGGTGTCACCATAAGGTAATGTCACGTTATCATTGAAAAAATTAAAAAATAATCACGTCGACAATTCACAGTAGATGATCAAAACAGAATCAAAAGGTAACTTTAGGTATGACTTTGGAAAAATAGCCGAGTGAGCAAAAAAAGACCATTGGAGTAGTTAGGTAACTCAATTTTCTTCCTTTATTAGAACTTTTAGTCCAACGTTTTATTCAGGCCCTAAACATGAAATTGATGATGATGGAGCAAAGGGATGAGAACGAAGAATTGACTATGCATAAGGGGAAGTTGTACAGTACGACACTCTTAATATATAATTAAAAAAGATATTATCGGTTTTGTTATTATTTAAATAATAAAATGGATAAAAAATTACTTAAAATAATATTATTTCTACCTAAAACGTTAATGTTTTTTTAACAATTTCAGTAAAGTATCCAACAATAACAAAACCGGTAGAAAAATAATAAAACCAGTAAAACACCCAATAATAACAAAACCGGTAGAAATAATAATATTTCCAGTAATTTTTTACCGATTTTATTATTTAAATAATAAAAAACCGGTAACACGTTTTTTAGTCGTATATTAAGACTGTCGCACATGATCATTTCTCATACATAAGAGAGAGAAAATTCACTTAACAATGAATACAAAGTAAGAGGGAAATGATCACGTGCGACAGCCTTAATATACGGCTAAAAATAGATGTTATCAGTTTTATTATTATTTAAATAACAAAACCGGTAAAAAATTACCTGAAATATTATTATTTTAACCGGTTTTGTTATTTTTTCTACCAATTTTGTATTATTATTAGGTATTTTACCAAAAATATTAAAAAAAATATTAATATTTTAAATAAAAATAATAATATTTTACGTAATTTTTTATCCATTTTATTATTTAAATAATATCAAAATCAATAACTCTTTCTTTATATTAAAAGTGTCTCACTTAGAACTTCCCAAAGTAAGGACGCTGGAAAAAATATGTTGAAATGCGGAGGTAAACGGCAAATCACCGTTAACTTATTTATAATTTACTAATCCACGTGTCAAGAAACTAGTGGTGGGACACCTAAAGAGGCTCACAGTGGGGGCAGAAGAATTTTGTTCGTAGGTTCTATGCTAATTTTAAAAACGAGGACCTGAAATATTTTATAATAGAGTAAAATTTATAATATCAAAATTTAAGAAGATTAAAACTATGATATAAGGATAGACATAAATTAAAAAATCTTATCTATTAAATATAATAAATTTATTGATTTTTTAAAGAAGAATCGATTACAATTAAATTCTAGAGATGATAAGGGAGAAAGTTTGAATTTTTTTTGGTTAAATCTTGTGAAGAAAAATTAATTTTTTCTAGGTTAGTTGATTTTTTTTAAAGTATGGGACCCCTAAATTTTGGGGTCTAATGACTCATCACACACTACAACTTGCTGATACACAGGTCTGATTTTATTTTAGGATAAAAAAAACCTTCAATGATTGACAAAATAGTTATTGTTAGTTCTTACGAACAATTGAATAATGCCAATGGGAGAGTGAATTGACTTTTTAAGAATTTTGATGAAAGCAATCGAAAATAAAATCATTGCACAACAATTTAGAGTGATTCGACTTCTAAACCAAGTCTACATCCACTGCCTTTTTATCCACACTAAGAATTTCTCAAATCTACTAGATTTGAGAACCTTTAAGGATAAAGTGTAACCTTACAAAGACACAAGGTTTATACCCAAAACCTTGTTTCACACTCTCCCAAACAAAAATTACAAATTTTACAAACAAAAGAAAAACTTCACAAAGACAAATGTATTTGCAAATAATTAACCTCTCACCCAAATCACACTTAGCAAAATAAACAATGAAACTCACAAGTGTGTTTACAACAAAGAATTTGACAAATTAAGCACAAAAGCAAAACTTTGATGTTGATAGGTTAGTTCAATATGATTCTTGTTGATATTGGGAAGCTTTGACCTTGAATTTATACATTCTCCATTAATTTTAGCCATTTGGAGTCGTTAGTGTTGCGGAAGACGGCTATCGGATAGAGCAAAATCGCAACTGATAATTTGAAAAAAATAAAAATGAAGATAAAAGAGACACAATTTACGTGAAAAACCCCTAAATAAATTAGAGTAAATACCACGGGCAACGGTAGAAAAATTTCACTATGAGAAAATAGGAATTACAACTTCTCTCGATCGACCAAGGAGAAAACAATGATAATTCTCTCTTGGAAAACAACTCTCAAGAAACTCTCTAAATTCTCTCTAGTATTGGAAGAAAGCTAGAATGCTTTGGGATAGTTTTGAAGCTAAATGAGCTAGAGTATTTATAGTTGAAGCATAAAGACTAATTTGTAAATACCCTAAAGTTTAGTGACTAAATTTTAGTAATTTTACCATACAAAAATAATAAAATTTAAGCCATTTTTTTACCATTTATCCGCCCCACTTGGGCTGCTATGACTTTCAGCAATTAGGATCATTATAGTCGTTACGTACAACCAAAAACAACATTTAATGCACAAATGATCGATCCTTTTCCAAAAAATTCAACCGTTGCAACAAAGGGATTGATCCTTTAAGGGAAATGATCAATCCTTTAAGGGAAATGATCAATCCATTTTCAAGGGGATCGATCTTTTGGTCAAAGTGATCGATCCTTTGAGCCAAAAATCCTTGGAAACTTAACTTTAAAGCGCAAAAACGATCAAATATAGTTTTGAAAAGTTCGACTAAGTTAGAAAACATTCAAAACATATTTTTTAAGTTAATTTGAACTTTGATAAATTTTTGATAAATTTGATTATGTCCAAAATCAATTTTGTAATTTATTGTTATAACAAAATCTTAATTCAAAAGTTACTTTAACCATTATTATTTATTTTGATTATTTTGACCTTGAACATTTTATTTTATGATAAAAAAAACTATTATTTCAAAACATTGGTATTTTTGTTAACTAACAATTTCTATCAACAGAAAAATCTTTTTGTTCAAAAGAAAACGTCGACGGTGAAAATGCTCCAAAAAAGAAACGAATAAGAACCAAAATATCATTATACCTTCCTAATTTACTGGCTCTAACTTGCCTTCTGAACCCAGGCCGTTTGGGCATTGGGTAACATTGCAGGTGATTCACCAAAGTCCAGAGATATAGTTCTGAATCACGGTGGACTGATTCCATTACTGGCACTATTAAATGATCATTCAGATTTATCTCCTCTAGGGAATGCTACTTGGGCTTTATTGAACTTCTGCCGAGGCAAGCCACCACCGCCCTTCCACCAGGTCAAGCCTGCATTGCAGGCCTTGCACCACCTGATCCGACTGAACGACGAAGAAATTCTCACCGACGCTTGCTGGGTGCTTTCCTATCTGTCCGATGGCACGAACGAAAAGATTCAGGCGATGATCGAGGCCGGAATTTGTACGCGACTTGTGGAGCTTCTTAAGTAAGATGTGCTGTTGATCTAATGTTTATGTTCACATCTCTTGATGTACTAACATTTCTGGTTACTGCAGTCATCCCTCGGAAGCTGTGCTCGTCCCGGCACTTCGGACCGTAGGGAACATCGTCACCGGTGACGATTCTCAGACTCAGGTACCCATTGTGCTATGTATTATTAACGCTTGGATATAGGAGTGTAAACGAATTATACTTGAATGAACAAGACTATGTTCATGTTCATTTGTCTAGTTTTGAAAGTCTTTATGTTTAGTTTGTGCATGATGTTCATTAGTTTATTTTTTTTAAGGTATTCATGTTCGGTTCGTTTAACATTCGCGAACGTGTTTTGTTTAACGTTGGCAAACATGTTTTCCGTTAAGATGTTCACAAATATGATAAAATTACACCATTAATCCTTGAACTTCTTGGACTTCACAGTTTGAACTATAAAGTTCACCTTATGTTCAATTTAGTATGTACCTCACCAATATTTAAAATGAAAAGAAAAGGATAAAAGAAAAAGGAGAACTGAATAAACGAGCTTATAAACAAGTAGATACACGAGCTTGTTCGTAAACCTAAATGAACAGAACGCACCTTTTTTCGTGTTCTTTCATTTATTAAACGAATATAAAATTTTTGTTCATAATCATTTATTTAACTTAATAAACAAGCATAAAAGAACATTATACGTATAGTTCACAACTATGCTGATTTGTAGCTACTTAACATAAGTTATGACAACTACATTGCGTTCTCAATTTCATATCTTGTCAATGGTGATTTCAGGTTGTGATTGACAACAAAGTTCTCCCTTATCTCCACAAATTTGTTTCCCACAACTACAAAAAGTGTATACAGAAAGAGGCTTGTTGGACAATCTCAAACATCACTGCAGGAAACAGTAGTCAATTACAGGTTAAATGCTGAATGTATTCAACTCATGGATTTAAATCGTGGTTGTGATCGCGTTTCCGGTTGCGTTCCGTTTATCACGATTGTAGACATAGTAGACGTTATTACAGTAATTGTGGGTATCGCTATTATACAATAACATTTATGAATGACACCGCTACCTCCGTACAACAGGCACTACTGCGACCACTATTTAAATCCTCTCTCAAGTCCTAATAAGTTATACAATTTATCTGCAACAGGCTGTCATTGAAGCAAACATAATCAGTCCACTGCTTCACCTTCTTCAACATGCCGAATTCGACATCAAGAAAGAAGCTGCCTGGGCCATTTCTAATGCCACCTCCACCGGATCCCATCGACAGATTCAGTACGTTATTTATCGTCGATTCTTATCGTATCGGTTCGATTTTAACTGTCGTTTATTTTTGACAGATACATGGTGAAACAAGGTTGTTTGCAGCCACTTTGTGATCTTCTAGTGTGCCCTGACACAAGGGTTATGACAATATGTCTCGAGGGTCTTGAAAACATTTTAAAGATTGGTGAGGCAGACAGCAAATGTGGGAGAAATGTATACACTGAAATGATTGAAGACTGTGATGGTTTGGAGAAAATAGAGGATCTACAGAACCATAACAACAATGACATCTACAACAAGGCTGTGAAGATGTTAGAGAGGTATTGGTTGGAGGAGGAAGAAGAAGGTCACTATGGTAATTCTCAGTTTTCTTTTGGGGTTGAACATCCATCCCTTTGGAGGTTTTGAATTTATGCTGAAACCCTTTCTGTGTACAATCCGAGCTTTCCAAGGTAATGTACAAAACAAAAGGAGAAATCCATCACTCTATATTTCTATTCCTAAAAGATGGGAGATTCTGAGTCTACAACTGAATGTTCTTATGCTTGTATCATATGAAAATTTAATTCATATATATATATATATATTAATTTAATGTAATTGAATTATTTTATTATAGAAAATCTATGTTGGAAGATTCACCTATCAAAATTAGGTGTGCGACACAGGTCGATCCGGATTAATTAAGGAAAAATCTTGAAACCTGGAGTGCAACCAAAAAAATATTAAGTTATTTAATAATAAAACACTTTTGTTGCAAGACAAGCTAAAATAAAATAATCCAAATCTCTATATCCACAGATATCTTTTCAGCCCTTCCTCACCATCTAAACCTGCAACATGGTCGGTCCACCATACTACACAAGTGGAACTAAGTAAGCCATCGTTAGCCTTTCAACTTCATCATTTTATTTGCATGAAAACCAACACTTACGAGGAAGATTCATAATCTGGTTCATTGGCAATACTTGAAGAAGGATTCCCAATAACTTGATTGGTATTGGACCCCCATTGCTTGTACTGGTATTTTGGATTCTTTCGGATTTGTCGGTGTATCTCGATATGGCATTCATGTTGGATTAAAATTCGTAATTATGAGCACTTATGTACAATGTTATCGTAAATTGTGACACAAAATTAAGTGATCGGTTGTGTTACACATGTGTTACAAGTATTAAAGTGTAATGGAAACAAAATGTAGATACCAAACCCTATGTATTTCGACCTGACATGACCTTATTGGGTCAGGTTTTTTTTTAAAACAAGTCATGATCGAGTTGAGTTAGATTTTTTAGAGTATAAATTTGGGCCTGGTCGGGTTTGAGTTTGTGTTTAGGATGAAAATATTCAACTTGATTCGACCTGAAACATAATGTAGGTATACCTTATATATTTATAGATAATTGTAATAATCTATCTCTATATTATTTTTTTCAATTAGAACATTATTTTTTCGAATAAAGTTAAGAATTATGTGTGTGTGTTCGATTGAATCGAGTGCATGTTTTATCTCAAAAGTGGGTTCAAGTTTTAGGTTGGGTGAAGTCACCTTAAACCCATGTCACCTCAAATTTCGTATGAAAGATATCTTTTCATCGGATCGGGTCGAATTGGTCGGAAAGCTGACCCATGCCCATCCCTACCTGATATTTAGTTGATATAAAGAGGTGCTGGTCCCAACAAAAAAATTATCTTGTATTCACTCTTATCCTGTCAGAGAGTTTATACTACAGAGAAACCTATATTTTAGAAGATCCAAACAAAATTGTATAAAACGAGCAAGCAACCAAATTGGAACAAGACAATGGGTTTGGGGACTCAATCATATGGAATTGAAATTAACCTTGAAGATATGAATATGTTACCTTGATAGATGATGATAACACACAAAAAAATGGTGAAGAGCATGACAAATATGGTGGTATTATTAGATGTTCCCTTGGTAGCTTTCATCTTCTTCAAGGCTCTCATCCTCTCAATTTTAGCCCGTTCCAAACGAGCCAACTCAGTTAACTCCCTAATCGACTTATAGTCAGCAGCATCCGAAGTAGGACCCTTTGGTGGCCTTGGAGGCTTTGGAGCCTTTTTATTACGTTTCTCTTTTCCTACTCCTTTGTTATTCTTATTTTTGTTGTTCTCTTTACCATCTTTGCTCTCTTGTTCTTCCTTGTTCATGCTCATCGTGAATGCGCTACCGGAATTTGAAGGATCGGTGGGTAAAGATGTTCCGTCGTCTGAATTATCCGAAAAGCTGCCTCTAAACATGGAAAGCAATAATTTTGCCTTGTTTTTAGGGCCTGGAAATGGGCTCTTAATTTGATGTTCTTCATCACTTGTTAGTCCTTTTTCAAGGTCAAGTTGTACCTTTTTGTCTCTTGGAGCCATGCAGATACGTGAAAAATTCACTCACAAGGCACAGCCTGAGGATTTCTTCAACCTCAAGAAAGGCATCTTTCAAGTTTTAATTTCACAAAATAGCTTCAATGAATGAAATCCAAGTTTGAGCCGAATCCCATCAATATCAAAACCCCTCCTGCATCAACAACAAAACAAAAACAAAAAATCAATCAAAAAACCCTAAAACACCATTAGAACCACAAAATTATGTTGCGGCGCAACATAGTATAATGGCCGCATCATAACGTTTTTCAAGATTACCTTCACATCGTAAACTGCATCCGTAACCAAAAAATAAACATAGTCTCTTTAAGAAATAAATCACGATGTAAGATATGTCAGGGATGGAGTCGGGATTAAACTATGATGGGGGCAAGTTGTTAACAAATAAGGTCTTCAAAAGTAATTAAATCATAAAAATTAAGAGATTAAGAGTTTAATTTCACTAATTTTTAACTTCAAATTTCTTAAAAGTAATTAAATAATATAAATTCGGGGTCAAATCTTAATTATATTATTTTAAATTTGACACTATCCTTAAAAACAATTATACCAAAATTTTTTGAGAAGGATAGGAGCTTAATTGCACTGATTTTAAAACTACCAGTGACTTAAAAAATAATTAAACCATCAAAGTGTGGGGAGGGGTCTGTTGAGTTAATCGATTGACGAAATCAGCCAAGAGGGGGATGAATTGGCAATAAAAATTTTGGTGGAAGCTTTTGCAGAAAATTGAAAGAAATTGTATAGTGATTTAGAGTGGTTCGACTTTCTCAACCAAAGTCTACGTCCACTACCTTAGCTATCCACACTAAGGATTTTCCACAAATTCACTAATTTGTCTTTCTTTTGAGGACAAAGAGTAACCTTACAAACCTTCAAGAATTATACCCCAAATTCTTGAGAACACTCTCTCCCAAAGAGAACAGTACAAATTTGCAAACTTACAAAGAAATCCTCACAAGGTAGATTGTTTGCACAATTCTAGAATAAGAAAAGAATACTAAAAAATAATGACAAATGAGCACAAATGGTGTTCTTGAAAGCAAAATGAATATTGAAAGGAAAATTGGCTTGATTTGCACAAACTTGGTGTTTGATGCTTTCTCTCTTATTTCTCTTATGATTTCTTGTTAATCAAAGGCTTCAGAACTTGTTTAAATACACCTTGAATCACTTCTGAACGTTGGGGATGATTAGTGGAGATAATAGAGCCGTTTAAGTGTGAAATCATTTAATAAAACAACTTGGAGCGTGGGGGGGAATCGATACCCCTCATGGGGAATCGGTTCCCTAAGTGTAAAATTCAAATATTTTGACCATTGAACAGTAGGGGGGAATCGGTTCCCTCCGAGCATACTGGAATTCTCGGAGCCAAACCATTCAGGGGGGAATCGGTACCCCTTGGGGGGGGAATCGGTTCCCTATGGACAAACTGTAATTTTTGGCTTTGAAACGGTTCGAAATACTTTGTAAAATTGTTTTAAAATTATTTTAATATTAAAACTTAATTTTACACTTTAGTAAGGATTTAAAATAAACTTTGAAATACTTTGAGTAATATTTTGATATTCGATTAATATATCGAATGTGTTTAGAAAAATCTTTTTCAAAATGAAAATTCTTTTAATTTAATTTGTTATATCGAAACATCAAAATATTTTCAACAATCTCCCCTTTTTGATATAACAAAACATTTTAAGATTTTCTAATTTCAAAATGAATTTTGATTTTGATAACTACTACTCCCCCTTACTTTAACACTACTTCTCTTCAAAAACGCTTTTAACATTTCTCCCCCTTTTTGTTAAATCAAAAAGAGTCGTAAAAGTTTTTTAAACAAGGTTTTGAAATCATTTAGCCATTTGATTATATATATATAAAAATAAGCTGCTAAGAACACAATCAAGAGAAACGTTAGCCATTAGTTCCATAATCAATATTTATAAACTAGTAATGGACAAATGGTCATATATTTCTATAAATGCAAAATAAACACGAAATCCAAATCAAATGTATTAAACATAAGTTCGAACAACCAAAAATAAACAATCCAAAATCATTCAAAATGTTTTAACAATAAGTTCAATCCAAACAAGCAAAGCTAAGATCATAGTTCAAGCATCCGTAGGAGGATCGGGAGGTGGTAAATGAGCTCGCATAGCTGCCATTTCATGAGTGAGTTCATTAATACGAGCGTTGATTGCTTCATTGTTTGCATGCATCTCCCGGAGAATTTCCAATTGTTGAGCTTCCATAGTCGAGAAGTGAGATTCCATGGAAGTGAAGCGAGAATCCAAGGATGCATAACGGAAATCAAATGTCTCCATAAATGATTGAAAATATGGAGGCACATGATCTTCTTGCTGAGCTTGTTCTTCGTGTTGTTCCGGCTCATCGTCGACTTCGTCAATATCTTGCATTAATTGTTCGAGCTCGGGATCGTCGTCAGCTTCTAGTGGAGCTTGAGAAGAGCTAGCTCCCGGAGTATTTTCAGAAGATCGAATCCATTCACGGTGTCCTTATTTTTTATCCATCCCACTCTCGTTAAGGAAAGAAGATTAATTTTTTTCTTGAGAGGAAAGACGACATCTAGACCTACCCTAAGTCCAGCTTTAGAAAATAGATTACTCAGAATGCAACCGTAAACTAGAGATGAACAGAGTTTCTTATTTGGAACTTGGTTTACGGTTTCAACAATTTCAGCAAAAATAATCTCATGAAGATTTATTTTAAGATTGTTTTGGAAGCAATGTAACCACCAAAGATCTAAAGCACGAAGAGTAGAGTAACGACCTCCGGATGGTCGAAACCACCAAGAAATCATTAGATGAAGAAAACGATCATGAAGATCTAAGACACTCGCATTATCCATTCTTTTATAACGAGAACCTAAAAATTGTTTTTCATTTGATATACCATCATTATCTAATCCTAATTCATTAGCTATGTAAACCGAGTCAAGATGGATGAATTGTCCTAGGAGATAGGAACGAACTGCTATGGTTTTGGTTTGAGCTCGGTTTTTAACACACACGGCATTAGAATAGAATATACGAACAAGTTGATGGTAAACTATAGGTTCAAGGTCACAAAGTTTATCAAATTTCCACTCTTGTAAAAGAGGAAGATATCTAAAATTGATATCTATCATAGCTTGACGAGAAGGGATACGTTGTTCTCTAATTTTGTAAGAGTCAAAATATTGATAATACCAAAAACGATGATTTCTAGGACCAAGATGATTGAAACACGAGTTTTGGATAGTCATATTAGGATCAACAGGATTAGGAATAGGAATTTAAGGAATATGTGGAGGATTTGGAGGTGGGTTGGATTGACAGTTTGAGCGACTAGATGATGACCTAGCACGTTTAGGATTGGACATGGTTTAGGAAATCGGAATAGAATGGATAACCTGCAATTTAGAAAACACATGTATGCAATTCAATCAATCCCAAAACTCAATTGAGTTCTCAATATTTCAAGGTTATCTTAAACTAATTCTAATGGGCAAAGTTTTTTGTGTGAAAAACTTATTGAAAAATGAGGTTTTTGGAAATCAATATATGTATAGTTTTCATAACAACAACATAATTCAATCAAGACACAATAATTGAATTTTTTTTTATTATTTCAAAAATTTCAAAAATTTTGGAACTTGTGTTTTTAATGAAATTAGTTGTAAAATCTAGTTTCTAATCACTAAACAATCAATGCCCGATCACTATTTCTATCTAGAACTAATTAAAACTAGTCATATGTTCAAAATCAATGAAATAGAGAGTTTAAAAAATTTACCTTGAAAGATGAGATTGAGTGGATTTTGATGTTGTTTGCACGATTTTAATGATGCTAGCAGGTTTAGGAGATGATATTTGAAGAGAATTTCGATTAAAAATGTTGATTTGAGGCAAAATGGAGATAGGGAGAGAGTAGAGAGGGGGAACGGTGGCAAAGGAAGAAAAAGAGAGGGTTTGAGCCAAATACAAGGGTTCTGCCCGATAAAACCAGAACCCTAGGGGGTATCAATTCCCCTAGGGGGGAATCGATTCCCCTTAAAAGGGGGAATTAGTTCCCCTTCAAGGGGGTATTGATTCCCTCTGCCCTATAATTCAAAAATCTGTATTTTAAACAATCAAAATGCTAAATTAATATTCTCTAGTGGTATTGGCAACTCATATATCAAAAATTAATTATGTTCAATCAATCAAATTAATCCTTAAGCTACATTTAAACATAAATTTAATTTTTTTTATCAAGAATCATAAACTCCCCCTAACTAATAACAATGAATGTAATCAGAAATTACTATTATAAGCAATTTTCATTTATTCTTTAAAAGTGCTAAAATTATTTTAAACACTAAGTGAAGATAGGTTGGTTAAACCTAATTCTCTCCTAAGTGTCCAAAAACATTCCTTGTCTAAAGGTTTTGTAAAGATATCCGCTAATTGACGCAAAGTATCAACAAATTCTAGAACTACATATTCCTTAGTAACATGGTCTCTAATGAAGTGATGTCTTATTTCAATGTGCTTAGTTCTAGAGTGTTGGATGGGATTTTTAGTGAGACAAATAGCACTAGTATTGTCACACTTGATAGGAATGATACCTACTTCAATTCCATAATCAAAAAGTTGTTGTTTCAATATAAAACTTGTGCACAACAACTACCAGCTGAAATGTATTCGGCTTCAGTGGTAGATAATGCAACACAATTTTGTTTCTTTGAAAACCAAGAAATCAGCATATTTCCAAGGAATTGGCAAGTACCGGAGGTGCTTTTCCTATCTAATTTGCATTATCCATAATCCGCATCAGAAAAAGCATGCAAGCTAAAGCTAGAGTCTCTAGGATACCAAAGTCCTAAACTAAGAGTGTCCTTAAGTTATCTAAAGATTCTCTTGACAGCTAGTAAATGTGATTCCTTAGGGCATGATTGAAATCTAGCACATAAGCAAACACTAAACATAATGTCCGGTCTA